GGCTCTTTTCATGCGGCAGACCTTGAGACGTCATAGATTTTAATTGGTTATAACAAATTCTGTGATTTAATATCTTCATTTTTGCAAGTTATTATACGCTTTACTCGAGTCTTCCAGTCCACAACGTCACTGCCCTTGGCACTCGGCATGTCAGGAGTGGAATATCAGAAACGAGAACTACGTATATCAAAAGTGGCAAAGAAAGCCAAAATTGCCGTGAGTTTTTGAAAAGATCATGCAAAGCTTCCAGTAAATGCGTAATTTTGCAGAAAATACAACAGGCTAGAAAGAAAAGTGGAGGCGCCCAGCAGCCGAAGCTGAACAAGGACCAAGAGGAGAAGATAAATAAGTTCAAGTTCTCAACGAAAAAGTAAGTGAATGTTATTAGTGAAGGATACCATAATACTCGCAGTTCTTTGGAATAAGCCATGCGCTTCACTCGAATCAAAAACCTCTTAGGCTTTGAATGTTCTTTCATCACCGCTTAGTGATATTCCGACCACTGTTTTTCGCTCCCGAAAACCGGTGAAGGGGTTGATGGGTCACCAGGACATTCAAGAGAATGGCATTTTTGAGAAATGTTGTATGATGAGCGAAGGTGGTGCAATTGCATGCTGCGGCGCTTATCATGCGCTCGATCCGGGAATCACATCCTGGAGCGTTTGTTGCCCAGACCAATCAAACCTTCCTCTTAGTCGGTTAAGTATGACTATCTGGGAGGATAATTGCTGACATTTGCTCGGACGGTCCCGATATGTTATTCATAGACCGAATTGCATTTATGACACTACGATTGATGGATTTCATGGAATACATAGCGCATCACAAAAACAGATTTATGTCGAATGGTAAATCTATTTTCCTTTCGATTATTCCGTAGGGGGAAGTGGTGTAGTGACAAGTGGCGCGCTACCACGCGAGCGGTCCGGGGATCAAATCCTGGGTCGTGAGTCGCCCGGGCCAACCAAGCCTTCCATCCCTCCGGGGTCGGTTAATTGGTACCAGACTTGTCTGGGAGGATAAAAACACTGACTTGAACATCGGCTGGCCCCCGCAAGTCATTGTATAGGCCACATCGCATTCAAATGCCACTGCGAATGTACAAATGGAAGTAGAATGCGTGCCGCATCCCAAAAGGGATTGATCAACGGCAAATGCTTTATCCTTTATTTATCCTTTATTTTCGTATAATGTCTTAAAAATAGCAGCGAAATCATAAAAGTAAAAGCGTGTGTGTTGTTTCAATATTTTGAGAATGCGCCGCGCATTTCCTTACTTCACTCAGAATCAAAATGCTGTGGTCGAACGACCCAGAGGTTTGAAGGCAAGCAACATTGTAATGCTACTAAACTTCGAGACAACTTCTCTCTATAACTAATACCGAGGGGGTAATGTCAGGATTGGTAATTCAGGTATCAGCTGCGTTTGGAAGGGAACTCGGAATTTGCTTGCCTAGGAGCACTTCTAATGTATTCATGAATTATTTTCAGAGCCACAACAGGAGGAGCGTCCAGTGCTGAAAAAGAAGGCAAGAAAAGCTATTCAGAAAAAGAAGAGTGGCAAGCCAATGAAAAGCCTTATGCAGTAAGAATTGTACTTCATCTTAGTCTCTGAAATTGAGTATCTAAATTTCAGTTTTGTTCCTATGTTGTTGTTACTTTGTCATTTGTTGTTGTCTTTTGTTGGTTAGCTACTTGTTACTTAGAAAGTGTTGCATTGTGAAAATTTTTCACTCCATCAGTTATTGCTGGAAGTGTCATTTGTTATATTTTTCTGGATAAATCTAACAGAGAAAAGTTTGAAATGTTCGCTTGGACGCTTCCATCGAAAGATTCTTGCGGGAGTGTTAATGAACAGATTCCTTTTTCATTTGTTCCTTTTTTTGACTTTATAAAGCACTATTTATGCCTGACCACTAGATTGAAGATTTTTTTCTGCCTTAAGCTGGTAAATTCAATTTGGTTGGCAGTAATGCTGACGGCAGATCTTTTTGGAGGCGGAATAAGAGAGCTTTTATGACATCTTCAGTCTATTCCATCCTTTTTTTTTTAATCATTTCTCCAATCTTTCTTTTCCATCGTAAGAACCTGTACGGCAAAACAACACAAGCATTATTTCCAGCATGCCCAGGTTTCAAGAAGACCGTACATGGGATCGTTCTGATTCTGATTGTTTTGTATTTCTTCTCTACAAACTTCAGTTCCTTTCGGTCGTTCATCCATGTGGGAGAAGGTGAAGCATCCGACTTTTAAGGCAAGGTCCGGGTCTCTGGTCTAAATTAAGTCTTTCTCCAAGAATAGTGGTATTCAAGCGTGGAGCAGCTGTGGGTCGCTAGAACAGAAGCCGACTTCTTCGCTTTTCCCCTTGATCATGAGTGGACGTGGGTTCCCGCGTAGCGAGAAAGTTACGTGCTGCGAAAAGCGAAAAGTCGATTTTTGACCTATTACCAACACCTGTCTGGAGCTTGTACACAAATTTCGAGATGATTTGACGACGCTGAAGCGTTGGGGCCCTAGATTGCAGTACCAACGCCCAACACCATTGACTTACCCACAAATCAATGCATTTTGCTGCACCGCTTCTGGAGGGATACCCGACAGGAGGCCCGTCGCGCGGCAATAAGGCAGAGTCAGCGGACGAGTCGCAGCGCGTACTGTAGTGCGTCAAGTTAAATAGAATGTACCATTGTACCTTACATCGCACACGCTGCGACTCGTCCGCTGATCTTCCTCTTGTCGTGCGACGGGCCTCGTGTGGGGTACCCCTTCTGAAGAGAAGGATTTTCCCTTTGTCGACGGTTTCCTCGCTTTTTTCATTACAGTTGTCGCATTTCACATCTTTGGTGTCACTTTTAATGTGACATATGTAATTACACATCAGTTTCAACTCGCGCTCCGATTTTAAATAAGACTTTAATTACTAGGATAGTTGCTATAGGCTTTAATTTCAGAGACCTAAGGGTATTCAGGGTTAAATCATCTGATAATTCAACACGAGGACAGTTGGTGAGGGTTTTCTTGTGTTAGATACTGGTAAGAGTCAAAAACTTTCTGAAGACATCCTTGCGGTTATGCCCAGGTCTATGCCCCGCAATGAAGCAGCAGATGTCATGCCTCAACCGTAGGTCTCCAAGCTAAGTCATGCAGTCGTCGCGTCAGTGGTTTGAAGAAGGATAGATGCATTTCGGAGTCGCTCAAAATGTCCTTGCATGTGCACAACGGCTCCTTGAATTCTGCTGCTGGATGTGGAGAAGACGCCTCGATTTTGAGCCATCTGAACCGTCTCGATCACACCAGCAACGATGGCCGTGACCTTGCCACCATTACGTAGCTGACATCGGTCTGGCCTCTTTTCTCTAGTTTTTGACCAGTTTTCACTGCGACGGGTTTCGCTGTCAATCTTTTTACTTTCAACAGAAGTTGTGCAAGGTTCTCAATGTTGTGGTTACGGCTTTTCGCTGGTCAGCAATGACATCCTGTTCTATTCTAAGGAGGTGGAAGAGGAGGGAGGGAGAGTGTCTGAAGAACAAGCGGAACTTTGCGCCGTCTTGACGTGTGTCTGTTCGAGTTTATTGATGTTCTTGTTCACGATAGCGTGTAGCTCTTCGCCGTTGTATAAACATAGTGTTCCTGGCATGTCTATGTATGGGTTCATCTCGTTTATGCGCTCATGGTCAGATAATTTTACGAATTTGAATTTATACTTTTTTGTGGGTTGTCTGGTCTTGTTTCTGGACTTGTTTTGAAACATTGAGATCTGCCGCCATTTTTTTTTATTTTTCCTGGTTTTCTACCACCTATCTCAGTTTGCCGTTTCTTTTTTGGAATTTTTTTCCTTTTCCTTTGTGTATAATTGTCCGTGATTTCAAGTGGGATAGAGCTTCAGGTGATTTTTGCTCTTCTATGAACGCCTGAGAGCATTCATGCATAACCTACTGCCAGTAATAGCTCACATATCAACTGCTGTCATGAGCCTAGTTGAAAACCGAATGAGTTTGACACACCGATCCCAACCCACCATTCCGCCAAAGTGGTTGAGCGGCGATAATCAGCTGATCCAAACGCGATAACGCAAAATCACCTTGTGCTTGGCCATTTTCAAGATTCCTTGAATTCGCGGAAATTCTAAAGCCGATTTTCAAGCCTCTCGCAAAAATTTTTATTCCCACTTTGTTTTCATTCGCGATAATCCCGTACAGTCGCAGAGCTTGCTGTTATTGTGAGCCATTTGGGGACGATTTCTGAGAGGCCGTGACTTCAGTGAGACCTTCTCTGTGACGTCCCTACACCTTTTCTTTGAGGCTCTTCGCGAAATTCTTCTTCCCACGTCGCTCAAAAATACGACACCTTCTCCAAAATCACAGCATACGTCGTCACCCTCTCGCCTGGCTCAGACAGATAATTGGCTGTGTTTGCGTTCTTGATGTCTTTACCCGTCCCTGTCGTGAGACTGTCTGGAGGTTGAGGGGGGGGGGGAGAGAATGTTATGTACATCGTTAGTAGTTTTTGCAAGGAACTCTCTTCGACTATTCATCCTCTCTTACGTTTGCTCTATTTTGGGGTTTATGGATATGTCTTCAAGCAGTCAGATTTCCGATACCTTGACGTAGAAATTGGATCATGGCTGATTAAATTCGTATAGCTGATTTCATAGGTCTTTGATCTCTTCCTGTAGCGTGACTGATGTGCTTTGAAATGTAGCTGATTGAATACGTTGGGAACTGGTTCGCTCTAGGACTTATTCTTTCAAGCTTGGTTCAGAATACGTTCATCCAGTGTTCCGTTTGTTTTCCCTGGCCTATTTTTTCGCCGTTGGAATTCGTAATAGCCCAGTGACCGCCTTCATTGAGCTGAACACAGGCACGAAATGTAACGCATCGTTCAGAACGCGGTGTAATCGAAGCGCGGAATAAGCGGCTGTTTCGCTTCACCGCGCGCTGAAAAGAGCGATCTCAAAGATTGGTCGGACTTTGGTCACTCCACACACCATTCATAGTCAAGACTGTGCTAGAACTGGTCAGAAAAGGCTTACGCAGATGGCACGGGTTCCAAGGTGGGACTGAGAATTTGAGGATGCGCCACGCGAATGCGTTCCACCTTGAGTTTTTGATGTAATTGACTTGAGTTCTTTCAAAGTAATGTTCATTCTATGGGGGGGGGGTGTAGGGGAATTTTTTTAGTAGTGGGTTATGTCGCACTTATGAATTGTAAATGCCAACTATAACGCGATTTTGCAGTTTTGGGGCTCGAAAGCATAGTTGGTGAAGTACCTACCCATCCTCTACTCCTGCTGGGAACCCGCTAATCTTTCGCGTCGTAACAACCCCTGAAATTACGGTGTGTTCCTCAGGCAGGGAACACAATTTCTCCCAGCATGATTCCCATACCGTACGCTCGATCCTATTCAGAACAAGGGAACACGCTGAATGTGGGAGAGCGAGACGTTTTCGTACATCTACATAGCAAATAAGAATGAAGGCATGTTGATGCTTCTTCATTCAATAAGCGGCGATGCGCATAATGAGAAGCGTTGGCTAGAGCTTTTTTCCTTCTTTTTATTAATACGCAATATTCAGGTGAGAAAAAAGGCCCACAACTACGGAAACGCGAGGCATGATATAGTCCCGTAGACATTATTCAGTCACATTAATCCGGATGAAGCTTATATTAATACCGAGTAAAAATGCGCATCTGAAGTACTTCAACTCACATTTCCAATCGTAGTCGCATGCGTGGCGCAAACCTTGAAAGCATTGGCAAGTTCCTCCGTAGGGTGGGTGATCTAGTTAATTATACCTGTTTTCCAGGCCTAAACCGTTTGGTGGAAGATGGGCTTGGGATATTGTTCACCTGCCTGGGAGAACGCCCGAGCTGCAATAGTATCTGATTATGCTTATGTTACTATCAGCCCGAACGATTCTAACTCATGCGATGCTTCAAAACTTTGCCAAGTGATAGAAGAATGAGCTTCCTACAACCTTACAGAACCCTTAGGAAGCCCCACTCACTGTGTCCAAACAATAGAAAAAAAAAAACCCCGCCGAACTTTTCTCCTTTTTTCTACAATTCCATCTCTGATCTGATTTGGACCACTGACTATCTGATTTCACAGTCCACGCTGACGCCAAAGGTTGTGCTCATTAAAGGATGAATCTCATAAATAAGAAGAAATGTCCAAAAGAAGGGAAAATTGCATTGTTAAGATGACAGCCGGACATGCCATGAGGGTGGCGCCGCTACGAATTGGCAACTGGAAGGGTTTTGAGCCTGTCGATCTAGCATGGCTCACCTCTGGCGCGACGCTGGCGGAGGTACGCCATGCCGATAATCCATATATACACCATCGCCGCAAGGTCTATACACGATTACCGGCGAGTGATTTAGATAGCAGAGACGATCTCGTAGTGATGAAGAGATGGCCCCGAGAGAACAACGCAATCAGAGAAGGTTAGGATTTGGTTCGGTGTCGTTATTACGGATTATCTGATCACTCGCCGTACGTGGCGAGTGATTAGATAGCAGAGAGAGCGTAGTGTTGAAGAGGGCACAGCGATGAGAGTCGCATCAATGCGCAAATCAACGGGCAAGGAAGGGGTCCCATTTCTCGGGTTTCGGGCCGTTTCAATGGTTTCTTCTTCATCCCTGCTCCACTGACCACCTCTACCCTTATTTCCAATGAGCTAACTTTTCATCGTAAATTCTGCCTTTAAGTTGAAATGGCGCCGTGTGGTGCTGGCGCCAAAATCGAATGTTGTATTCGTGAAGCGGCACTGAATAACCGCATTATGTATGTTTACGGCGGAATCATGGAAACAAGCAGTGTACCAATTGGCACTATCGCCAAAATTATCGTATCCGATATCAGGGATTATCTACTCAGCCGAAGTTTTGACGAATACTTTTTCGAATTTCGGGTTTTTATGTTGAATGGTGCCAAATCTGCGTTTCTATTCAAATTTTGGGAAGCTCCTTGAAAGGATATATTCAAGGGAGAGGTGTGAAGTGATAACTCATTAGAGCGACTTCTCCTATGTCATCCATCATAGTGGCATGCACTAATATTAAAACCCATGACATAGAAACTTTGGAATAGTGAGAAATTTGTAGCCCTGATGCAGTCTACATACTGTACTTAGCTCGAATTGTGAGGTCATTAGGTCCACATTTTCGGAGTCACATTATACCGCGGCATAGAACCGAAACTATGTAGTAGACTTCAGTTGATCTCCGGGATAAGTCGCGCAAATTCAGTATCTATTGTCCTTAGAAGATACTCGTCAACCCTTTTAATATTGTAATAAGTATGTGATTACTTTGTAACTAGGCTCCGTGACCAGCAATGCTTCCGTTTGTCGGAGAACCGGAACGATGTACGTATAAGTCTGTGTGACCAGCGCTGCAGGTGTAAAGTCAGAGATAGAAGACGAGAGGTTGCCGTCAATTTGTTTGTCCAGCGTTCAGCTCGGGGCACCCAGGTAGGAGGCCGTGGCGATGACACAGTGGGCACAGCCTCCTCACGTAACAGCCTACAATTAGCTTATATCGTCACCACTGGTTTCTCCCGTTCGTCATCTCACTGACTCACTCTTTAAACTCGAAATTTCACAATTCCGATTTCCGAATACGTGATGGCTTCAAAAGGAGTCCATACAGTGAAATCTAAGATTTTTTTTAGCGTTTCTTGTTTATTTTATTTTTTGAAACGTATTTCTTATTCCGTAAACCATGGTTGAGCTGTTCAACTCGTCCATTTTGACTAATTTCTGAGTCTTCTCTCTTCTGGGTCTTCTCCAGTATTTTCTTCGTCAAGTGGTATATCAGTGGGAAATTTTCTGCTATCAATCGTTTTGTTCTGAAGCCGATCACCTTAGTATTTATCCCTTATCTATTCTTCATAGGAAATAGGTGTTCATTTCAAAGGAGTCCGAGAAACTGGTTTCTCAATGCTCCCTCTGCTTTTTTAATTTCTGGAAGGTTGAATTCGCTGAATTTGGTGACGTCATTGGTCCGACTTTATTTTTCAGTCAGCTAAAAGGAGAAAATGTAAAGAACTAAGACTGATGATGGCTTCATTTTGTTATATCATGTAGTTTCGTATTTTTGGGGTGGCAGACTGGCAAAATTCGCTGTTAAAGTCTACAGGTGTTTGTAGTTCGATTCTTGTTCAGAACAATTGAAGTCGTGTTCAAAGTCGTTCAAACGACACTGCGATACTGGGTGCGGGTGGAATACGTGGCGCATCCATGAAGGGATTGGTCATCGCCAAATACTTAACTTTTCAGTGATAATTAGTAAACAGAGGAAGCAAATAGTGCCGCGAGTTAAAGTAAATACACGACGCCTCAAAAAATCAAGCGTTTCGTGAGTTCTCAATGAATAGTAGCTTCAAAGGTTGTAGGCGAGTTACGATGAAAGACAGCCCCATCATGTTAAAGGTGGCCAGTGATTCAAGGAAGAAAAAGCAGAGAAATACATAGAGCCGAGCATGTCCCCCCCGCCTTTTGTTTGGCACTTAGCGTGTTCTGCATTTGGTGCTGCCTCACATCTGAACGCTCTCTCTCTCTCTCTCGCCTCTTCTCGTCTCTTCTTTTCTCTCTTCTCTCTCTCTTCTCTTTTCTCTCATCTCGTCTCTGCTCTCTTCTTCTGCTAAGCGGCCTGAGCTCGCGCCAGAGGGTGGTGCGTAGCCTGAGTGATGGGCGGAGCGGGATGGCAATGCTAGAAGCCGGGCAATCTCTCCGAATGCGTATTGTTTCGATTATTAGGGGTCCTCGCTTTTTCCACTAGGTGGTGTTTTCCGCTCTTCGACTACAACGTTGTGTGGGATCGCTTCTGCTATATCTAGAGAAACACTGGCCTGTTATGGTGGGCTTTAGGGAAGGTGCAGCTCTGAAAGATAACAGAGAGTGACTCATGTGTCCCTGATGACGAATCCCTATGAAACGACTTATTGTCAGATGTTCCAGAACGTCAATGTAAAGCACTGATGTGAGGATTCATGCGCATGCGTCGTTCTCGTCTTCAACGGTGCTGTAATGATTTAATGGTCCTCGAGGCACATCTGGCTCTGCCAACAAAGTCTCAAGAAATGCCGTTAGTTATGTGAAACTTCCTCTCCAGATCTCTTCATTGGCAGCGTATTACGGTAACGAAAAAGCATCGTTATTCAGCCTCTTCTGGGATCCGTTACCCGCATTCTGTTCTTCTATCCAGAGTCGTGGTAGAATTTAGATGCGATTTATCCTCAATGATTTATGGGCTGCCCGGAAAGCTGTCTCAACGTCCTATGACCTTGAAATTGAGATTATTTCCAATCGATACAGCCTAGAATGTTGGTTACAAGTATGAAAGGCAAAACGGCTACGAGAATTCGCCTAGGGAATTGTGAGCGATCAAGGTTGGCTGTTAATTCAGCGTGAGGAAAGCGTACTTGCAAAGGGTGCAGTAGAAGTGGTGCTATGTCAGTTGCAATAAATAGTCAAGGGCCAGAGGATTCTAGTGACGGCCTTCGAGAACTCGATGTGAGAGCATTCGTCGCACATTTGTGACAGATTGTCCGTTGTTACTTTGAACGGTATGAGGCCTTTCGCACATTTTTTGAAGCTTCTACGAAACAAATGGAATGTTTTTGTTTTTTCCGTTATTAGTCATGGAAGGGGTCCCAATCTAATAGAATTAGATTTGAAGGATTCCTCTAGTTCACTATGACTAACTCAGCAGCCGTCAGCAGGGGACTCAGAATGGGTTGGTGCGATTTAATTGTTTCATCGACGATCCAAAAGCACCCAAAAGTCTCATCTGTTGGGAGAATGGGATAGCAATCAATCGAATTAGTGCTTATGGCTTGATCAGATTTCTCCCTGTACGGCAACCAGTCATGGTTGTTCCCTATCACGATCCAAAGATATACACACTTTTACTGCTGCATTTATTTGGTATTCCATGATTCTGCCCTATGAAATCGCTGAGGAAAACACTTCGGTTTTTAGGAGCGGTTTTAACCGCGGATTTTGATGGATGTAATTGGCTAGTCGCTCCACCTAACCCTGAACAGGAAAAATTCGCTCATTCAAGACTAGACCCCATTTGTTTTCAGCGCTCGGGTGCAACTTAGTTGTTTTTTTTTTAGGGGGGGGGGGGGGCACGCGGCGGCGCGGCAGTCTGCTCACCTGGGCTCTCTCGAGCGAGACAGTGTAAACTCGAACATTCCAGCTTTTCACGCATGTCAAGTGACTGCCCCCACCCCCCCCCCCTAGACTGGCTACACTCCCCCTGGCCCACGGATTTCCGGAACAGGCAACGGAGAAACTGCGTGAGGCGCGTGCCCTCCGAATAAGGTTATGAACCGCTATTCTTTCACAGTGTTATTATTGCGAATTGCGAACTTCCATGTTCGTCAAAGTGTGCAATCTCTCTGGAAACAGATCGTAGAAGATGTTTGTTAATGTTTATTGACAAAATGCTTTCGTCATGTATCATCAACAAAGACCACACGTTTTGGCGCAGAACTGGTGGGCAATTGGGGCGAAGTCCGGACTGCTGCATTGGCCGGCGTGCTTTGGGCCCGAGACAGAACATCTCTCCTCCTTGATCTTCACATGGCTGAAAAGACGAAAATGTAGAGCGACGAACTCGGTGCAAGTTTATTTCTTAGGCAGTATACCATAACGTACCGTTGCGGTTGTGCCTCAGTCGTGAAGGCGTTGAGCAGGAAAAGTGCGCAGACAATGTAGAAGAACATATCGAAATTCGATGAACTGATGACGGCCAATGGTACTCCGCCATATTTATACCAATAGGGAACTGAGAACAATGTCATTGTTACCTGACCCTTTGCAGGTGTTTTCACAAGGAAGTGTGCGGGCCAAGTTTTCCGCAAACATTGCGAAATGCGGGTCGGAATGGTATGATAACTTTGCGCTATAATTTTACAATCTACTACACGTAAACATGATCAACGGATTGATCTGCCATTCTCGAGAAATAACCACTGCACAAAGATGGTCAGAACAGGCGCTGCATCCGTCTGGCTTCTGCCGAAAAATATAACTCGTTCATCAGCATAAGTCATTCACTTTGAGATGCGCTATCCAACCGGTTTTCATTTAAAATTGTGGACAAGCTTGAAAGCTCGTGAATGACGAATCGACATAAGGGCCTTGCCAGGCCACATTCGAGCCAAAGATTTGGTCCTACCAGACAAACATGCTACACTCGACCCGGAACGGTAAGCAGTGAGCCCTGCGATGGTGTTGAGAGACTGGGAAAGGACCAGCTGGGACAGGAATCACGAGCTCTTCTCCGAAAGCAGGAGCAGTGAGTAGTGATTCTGGACGCACGCCCATATGGGGAGAAAAGACACAACTCAATGCATTAGGGGCCATCATCGTACATGACTGCTTCGGTGCTACAGGTGCTACAATGTAGAAAAACACATTGATGGTAGGGCGGTCTGACTTCCAGGTTCAACCGAGGAACACTCCCCGGTCAACGCTATGCTGTAGTCCTTCCCAATTCGCTTCTTCGGTCTTCATTTCATTTTTATCGAGGACAATGTGCGACCGCATCGAACAGCCCACATGAAGAACTCTTGGGACGAAACGATCTTTGGTTACCGGCAGCCTGCCCGGTCCTCTGACTCGAAACCATGGAGCATGTTCGAGATGGACTCTGTAGAAATATTGGAGCAAGTCCACATAAACCAATAACTGTTCAGCAGTTATCATTCGGGGTGTTCGACGAATGAAACGCCTTTCCACAGGAATCCGTTACAAACTTTATGGCTAGCAGAAGCACGTTCGAGAGCATTCATTGTCCGTAGTGTTAACATAAAATAATAAAGGATAAAGCATTTGCCGTTGATCAATCCCTTTTTGGGATGCGGCACGCATTCTACTTCCATTTGTACATTCGTAGTGGCGTTTTTGAATGCGATGTGGCCTATACAATGACTTGCGGGGGCCAGCCGATGTACAAGTCAGTGTTTTTATCCTCCCAGACAAGTCTGGTACCAATTAACCGACCCCGGAGGGATGGAAGGCTTGGTTGGCCCGGGCGACTCACGACCCAGGATTTGATCCCCGGACCGCTCGCGTGGTAAGCGCCACTTGTCACTACACCACTTCCGCCCTTAGTGTTAACATACCCCGTTTCATAAAGTCACCGCAATTCATGGTGATCCTTCAGGAAACTAGGCATGATTTTAAACGGAGTGTTAACATACCCCGTTTAAAATCATGCCTAGTTTCCTGAAGGATCACCATGAATTGCGGTGACTTTATGAAATCACTGTCTTTGAAAAAGTGTCTTTATCGTACGATTTCGTGTTTATTTCAGTAACCTCTGTATTATAATGCTGCAGTTTCATTGCGCACTGAGTATTTCTTCAAACAAATAAAGGGAATCTCTTCACCATATTGCTGACACAGTATAAAACCATTTCATAATTGGACAGCTTTTGCAGAGAAGAGTTTTGCTTACATATTTCATTGTGGGAACACCTGCAAAGGGTCAGATAACAATAGCATTGTTCTCAGTTCCTTATTGGTATAAATATGGCGGAGTGTCATTGGCTGTCATCAGTTCATCGAATTTCGATATGTTCTTCTACGTTGTCTGCGCACTTTTCCTGCTCAACGCCTTCACGACTGAGGCGCAACCCCAAGAAGTGGTAAGTGGCGATAGGCTACTACTTGGAAAAATAGCTTTCGAAAGAAGTCAACTCTCATCAAATTCGTTTTTCCAGCCATGTGAAGGATCAAGGAGGAGAGATGTTCTGTCTCGGCCCAAAGCACGCCGGCCAATGCAGCAGTCCGGACTTCGCCCCAATTGCCCACCAGTTCTGCGCCAAAACGTGTGGTCTTTGTCAGTGATTAGTGGACAAAATCATTATTAATAAATGTCCAAAAACACCTTCTAGAACTCACTTACAGTAAGATTGCCCTTCTACAAGTACAAAAAATATTACAACGCAATCATCAAACTCGGTGGAACACAGTGGGTCGGCCATACCTATGCCAATACAATAACAAACAACTTCTACCACTTGTTTCCAGAGAGATGGCACTTTTACAAGCGTGGAGGATCTCACAACTCGCAATTATCACAACGTGGAAGAATAAGCGGCTGAACAACGCCAAAATCGTCTAGGTATCTGATGAGCCGGATTTTTCCTGTTCAGAGATTTGAGGTGGAGGCAGGGTCAACCCTACGTTGTTACGAGTAACAACGGGGGGGGTCGTACTCAGTTGAGCTTGGAGGGGGGTCGTACCTCTCGGTGGCCGACAGTGGGATTCTTGGTAATATCGGATAATAGCCAGCACGTTACGTTTTCGTAAGATGACTGATACTAGAGCATCTATAAACCACGCTTCCCTCTAAATGAGCTTTCAAATGAATCAGCGAATTAGAAGGGCGCCCGAGGCGTGGCGCGCACCAAGGCAAGGGATGTAGTGCAAAAAAGATGTAGTTGTTCGAAGCTTTGCACATTTTAAGTCAAGCATGAAGTGGCCTTCCATTAGTTACCGGGTAGGTGGAAACCTAAAGAAACCATGCGTTTTTCGGGAGAAATGCTCAGTAACGCAAACCCCCCCAAAAAAGTAACAACGGGACTAATTTTTGAACTGCTGATCTTTCAGGAACGCTTGGTGCTCGTTAGAAAGCTTGAATCCTGTAGTTTGTCATACGTGTTCAGCTTCCCAAATGAATGACTTTGAACAAAGTTATGATCGTTTAAAGGTCAAAAAGTCGCATTTGCACAGAAAAAAGTAACAGCGTACTCAGTTTTTATTAAATTTACTTTTTTGAATTTTCCAAATCAAATCACTTCGGCGCAGAAGCTCGAATATGAAGGAAGTTATAGCCTTAGAAAGAGGGGTGTAAAAATTGTGTTGCAATTGAAGAACGTGAAGGATTTCAGTATTTCAATTGGAGCGATAATTTTTTCTGACTTCTCATAAGTTTTTATCAGGTAATATTGTCAATATTCCGGTCACTGGTTCAGTTTATTTCATCTCCTAGTTTGGTAACCCTTTGGAGTACACGGATATCTTTGAATGCATCTCATTTTTCGTGTTTGGAAGCAGCGAATGAATAAGTAATAATAGCCACGCACCTCACCTTATAGTGCGTTTCATAAGTATAGACGCACCCTCAAAAAAGCTGTCATCAAAGTTTAACGATATCCGTGACAAAAAGGGTTGTTAATATCGTAATCAGCGTGCCGGAAAACCTTTGTGAGACAGGTTTTATTTGAATCGGAGAAAAATTGGGTATTTTTCAACGGTTTGTTACCAAATGGACCGTTTCATAAGTATAGACGCACTTTAGAAATCGCCATGAAACTGAACACTTGGCCTGCGAAAGTTAACGTTCAAGGAAGCAGTAATTAGCCATAAGTACTACGCATCATATCGTTAAATAGCAGGGGCTCACAGCTTCCAGTTGCCGAGCAGGCTCAGGATCGCGCCCTGCACACGGTATGTCTGAGCAATCGCATAATTGCTCCCCAATTGTGTTGCTCCTCAAGGGTCGTCGATCAACTCGTAAGTGACACGGAATCCTACGGTCGCAAAAAGGGATCAGGTAGACCAAGGAAGCTGCCTCCGCAAGCAGAACGTCAGATTGAACGATTGGTCTTGAACTCTCGACTCAGCCTCAATGAAGTCCGAGCGAACCTAGCGGCACCTGCCTCCAAAACGGCGGTGTGGAGGGCGTTCAGTGGCAACAGCAACGTCGTGCGAAGTCGTCTCCGTCCAGCTCCCCGTCTCACCGCGTCTCACAAAGAGGCACGGCTCCAATTTGCTAAGAGGAATATGGCAGCAAACTGGCCCAATTTACACCCCTTTCTTATAAAGCTTCCCATTCGAAACTTCTTGCTCAACTGATATTCTCCGACGAGAAGAAGCTCAAACCTGAACGGTTTAGACGGGTATACATTTTAATGGAGAGATCTGTGCAAGGTGTCGAAGTTTTCCAATAAGCGTGATTTCGATGGATGATGCGTCACAATTTGGAATGTATTTCACCGATGTGGGACGCAAGAAATCGCTTTCACTCCCACCCACATGGACTCCACGGAAAACAAAGACGTGCTCAGTCCTCACTCGCTACCTTTTTTGGCAGGGTATGGCGAGGGAGAATTTGTTTTTTAGCAGGACAACGCTGTGATCCAAATGAGGCGGTCTACTTGGTCGTGGCTAGAGGAGCGAAATGCAACTACTGTGGACTGGCCTGCTTGTTCACCCAATGTCAATCTCATTAAAAACATCTGAGGCCTCCTGGGTTGCAATATTTAACGTCACAGAGGGACTTTTGTTAAGGTGACCGACCTCAGAGTGGTGATTAGTCAGGAATGGAATCGTCTGGTCGTATAACTGCTCAGCGGATTGGTTAAATCTACTCTTTCTTCTATCTTTCGAAGTACTAAGAAACAATTAATTACTAAGGAGTTTTTATTGTTTTGATTTCATAATAAAAGTATTGTGTCTTAGAGGTGCGTCTATACTTATGAAACGTTGGGCAACAGGGTCGATGCCTAATATACCTCGAAAAAATTTCTCATAACTACGAGACGTATTGTAACTTGAGACTATTTCTTTTTTATTTTTTTTGTTTTCTCCGATGATTCCTACTAGTGCTATTATGTTACCCTATGGATCCGTTTGAAACTATTCGTGTAAGACTTTGGGGTGCGTCTATACTTATGAAACGCACTGTACTCATTTTGCTGGTTTGAATTACTTTTATTTTTCTTTTTTGATTAAACTTCCCGGTCCCGTTCCGGCAACATTTACTTTAAGTTGCCTGATCATGTTCCTCATTGATCCTCATTGAATGCCCATCTTGTCCTCGTTAATCTGAAAAACGGGACAATGTATAATAGCTTCGGTAAACTAGTATTATGGCTCGAATTATGTTCATTTCTTCGCCATACGATCAAAAACTTCTCATTTGGCGGGGAAATGACTCTTCCAAAATCTGGCACAAAATCTTAACGACTCGCCGTTTAGCTTAAGCGCCGTTTTTCGGTGCCGGCGCTTGACTTGTGCTCCACCTACTCGCTTCAATTGCCTCCGATCATCTGGTTTTTGATCCGTGTTATGAGCTCGGGGATCTTGCGCACGAATCGTCTCACAACGCTATTCTGAGGGATCAGACCCCTGAGGTCGTGTTTGGCTTTTCTTTCTCTACTTCTATTCGGCAACGGTGCTATGAACGCTCTTTTGTAGCGGGCCCTGATCAGAAGGAACTCAAAAAATAGAGAGCTTCAGAGTTGGGGCACTTATATATCCCTTGAAGGTTCACGATTTATGCGCTATATATACGTACAGTAGCCCAACTCAATGAAGCGTTTGAGCGCGAGACGGGTTTTCTAGTGAGCAACTATCACCTCTAGAGTTTCACTGTTGTGTGTGATATTAGGGTGTCCGAAAAGTTTTGAAAAAATTTTGGTCTTAAATTTCGCAACCATGTTGCGCAAGAATGCGCCAAAGCAGAGCCACGGAACAAAGGGCAGGGAAAGGGCACCCTTGGTAGATCGTGACCATAACAGAACAGTATTGTGCTTCATCGTTGGAAGTAAGCTATCATCAATTGAACTATGTACGGTCGACTACCGACGCCTTCTGCTTCAGATTTACTACCAATTCTGGTGCGCTCCGCCACTCAGGACCCGGAAATGAGTTATAGTTGCGATGAGCAGAGTCGCCCTCCTTTACTACCTGCCCGATAGGTGGCTTGCGCTTCTCTAGAGGGGATATCTCCCTCGACGATGCTCCTCGTAGAGGACGCCCTCGTAGAGGACGATTCCTCTAAGACCGACGCTGTTCTAGCTTCCGCTCGAAGCAATCCTTCTCAAAGCTCTGAGGGAAATGGAAAGGACGACTGCTACTTCTCGTTCCACTATCCACAGGATTCTGCGCCGAAGTCGCTTCGTGCAGCGCTCCCTGGAGTTATCCCCCACTCCCTTACTGAACACGAGCGTCGAGTGCGAGTCGATGTCTGCCAGAAACTTCTCAACCGTAAACGAACGACGACGTGGACGGACTTCATTATCGCTCAGGATGAAAAGTGGATATCTTATGAAAATCCACACAGGAAATTGCAATGGCTACCAGTGGACGTGAAGCCCCAACCCGTTCCAAAGCGAGGTGCCCACGCCAAAAAGGAGATGATATCCTTCTTCTTTTGCTCGACCGGCTGCATATACTACGAGATCCTACCTCGAGGGTACAGCGGTGACGGTCCTGGAAGAAGGGCGCATTCGAACCTCTGCCCAATCGATGGAGGGACGTCGTGGCTAAAGAGGGTCACTATCTCGATCACTGATCGCACCTATTGTTGTAGTAATTTTGTGTTGAATAAACCGACTGACTTTTTTCAACTTTTCGGACACCCTAATACTTCACTGCTAAAACGCGTAAGACTTCTTGTGCAGGAAACCCTGGTCGAAGAGGCTATGAGACGTGTGCACATCATTAAAGGAAGCGTTCGGGCTGGCTTCGTGGTGGAGAAGAGTTCCACACGTCTTTGACGGAATGTGTCGAGATTAAAGCTGAGATAGAGATTTGTTCACTTTGATCTTTTACAACCAGTCTCGTTTTTTAACAATCTCTATCTCACCTTTCATGGAAATCTGATGTAAACGATGGAATAAACATCGAGAATCCCTTCCACGTTCGAGACAGTGGCAAGTTTTGGATGTTTGGCGAGCTCTATTCCGGCACCTTATTAACTGCGTGATACCCTTAAGCTGCCACCTATTCGTCCATTGAGTAGCTTCTCCAAACACTTGTAATGTTTCCGTCAGTTCCATTGGATGTCATCGTTCACGCTTCCTTATGTAGCGGAGTTTACAATTCAAAGCAGCGCA